CTAAGGCAGAAAAATACCTGCTGGAGCCCGGATCTAAGTGTTCTGGGTCTTCGAGGGCTGATTTTTGTCCTTTTTGAATAAATACGTGTGGGGGTGGGGAGTGTAAAAGACAGCGTGGGCCACGGGAAGAGGACTAGGTTTGGAAGTTCCTAATTTTGAATCTGTAGCCTGCTAGCCGGTGCCCTGAGGCTGTCATCAGTGCCTCTGCCTCGGCTCACTTTCCCACCCTTGAAGGAGAGAGGAGACACGGGTCACCTATCTGCACATTCCCAGGCAGCCCAAGCGCCCACGCGCAATCACCCAGCCCCCGGCCCTGTGTGCTCTGCAGGTCTTCCTTCCCTCTAGCGGACATGGCCCTGTGGCTCCGCCTGCGCCCACTTCTCTTCTGCAACAGAGTCACCTCTGCGGGGGTCGCCAAACCTGGGCCTCTAGTCCTGACAGTTTGGAGGGGGCTATGTCACACCTGCACCTGTCCAACTGAATAACCTCACCCAGATGCCCCCACCCCAAGCCCCGAATTCCACAAACCCCGAATTAAGTCAGCTCCTCCTGGCTTCCAGTGACTTGCACCATTTTCTTAATAGTCCAGTCTGGAAAGAGCTCTGGGCGACTTCTCTGTCTCCCTGGGTCTCACACACCCTCTGCTTCCCTAACTCCTCAAGGCCCCACACAGTCTTGGTCATCTCACTTACTTTCATTCAGGAACCACTCTTCCCAGTTCAGCGACTGCTGCAGACCTGGGGCATTCTGATGACCTCCTGGTTGGTTCCCTGCCACCATCTACTCGACCCTGTGGTGGGAGTGGCCAAGGTTGGCTCCCCAGAACAGAGTGGCACTTATTCCCTTTTCAAAAATAGGCAATATAATACTTACTGCATGGTCCACTGAATACAAGTCCAACTTCTTAGCCAGGTACTCCAGACCCTTCACCACCTGGCTGTAACCCGCAGTCCCACCCCATGCCCCACAGGCTCCTGTTCCTGAAGACCTGGTGTGCCTTCATCCCACAGTGCCTGCCCTGCTTCTCTGCCGACAATCATCGCTAATATCAACTCCAGAAAAACCTCTCCTCCTCCCTGTCTGTGCTCGCACTACTGGCTGCACTAACCTACTTGAGCTGCTGTCTATCTTTCTCATTAGCCTGGGGTCAAAGACCACGTCGTCTTTGTCTTTGTACTTCCGGGCGACCCCAGAGCTGGAGGCATTTCTCATACAGACCTCGTGATCTCATGTGGATCAATGACGAATCTGAAATGGCGAACCCCAAACTCCTGTGCTTTGTGTTCTCAGGTGTAAATCTCTTAGACTCCGGGGTCACACCTGTGTGGCCCCACCACGGACCCCTTTCCCACCATACACAGACCACTGAGGTAGAGAGCCCTCGAGGGCAGCTGGTCCAGCCCCTTCATGCTACAGGTGAAGGCCTTGGAGAGATAAAATGCCACATAACCAGGGTTCACATTCCAGTCCCCAGAGCAAAGCTCCAGGCTCACTTTATTACTGCCTTTCCCACACAACAAGTGTATCAAGTCAGTCTAGGGCCAGACAGTGTAAGAGTAAACGCACAAATTCCCTTTTAACTCGTAGGCGGGACTTGACCGCTGTGCCTGACGCTGTAACTGAGGCTGGTTCCAAAGAAGACCACCATTTTGCATTAGATACCTCGATAGTTACTCACATTCTGAGCTGGGGTGTCTTCATTTCAGTCCTGTATAAGGACTAAGCACACAGGGAGAGGGATCCTGGCGTCACCAGTGGCCTGAGAGACAGCTTTATCTGAAAATCCTGCCAAGTCCTCGAAACATGTCATGTCCAAAATCAAACTCCACTTGCCTGCCGGTCCCCACTGTGGTTGTTGCTCTGGAGTAGATGCCCTTTCTCCTGGCTTCCCTGCTTTGAGTCATGCCTGTGGTCCAGCTTCAGCAACATCCACCTCCAGCATTTCCCTCACACCTCCCTCCTTCCCTGCAGTCCCACTGACTCAGGCCTCTGAGCCCCCCACCCTGTTCCTTTCCTTCTAGTCTTTCCCACCGTGGCTGCCAGCCACTCGGGCTGGGTTACAGCCGCCTTGCTCTGCAACCTGTAGTGATTCTCTGCCTACAAACCAATGAGCTCCTTGATTTGACATCAAGGGCTTCACAGGCGCAAAGCTTTCTTCCCTACTTGCTATCCCGCAGCTCCGGGTCGTAAGGTGGGGAATGCTTACTTGTCTGTGGGAGCCTCCCCCTTCCTATGTCTCTTTGCTGATGTGTCCCCCTCCCGACTCGTGGTCACAAGTTGGATCAACTGTTCAAGTCCGGGTTCAAATGCCCCTTCTTCCATGAAGCCTTCCTTCTGAGTCTCCTGGTTAGACCCCCCGACCTCTGCAATGACACCCTTCTTTTCCCACCTGTTCTTCCTGGGGCTGTAGTTCACATGTGCCTCTCACTGGACAGCTCGTTTACCTGTGGCTCTCCCGCTGTGCTGACTGACACAGAAACAGCATATTGTCTCTCAAAGTGCAGCCCAGCTCCCGTCCTGGCTCCCAGAGAGAAAGGCTCCCAGCCAGCCCCCGGCCTGCACGAAGGTGGCCAGCCAGAGGCCGGTGGCCTGGAGGGACGCCCACACAGGACACAGAGCTGGCTCTGCTCCTCCACAGTTTCACCCAGATGAGTCCTGAGGACAGTGTCTTGAGTTCCATGGAGGGGCAGCTGCCTGACGATAATGAATTAATTAATCACTGCGCCGGGCAGCACCTGAGCGCCTCTGCACTCTCGTGCTTGACCGTCTGCTGTGGGTAATTTGTCACCACTATTTGCCTACCTGCAGCACCGCACCTCTATTTTTTTTTCTGTTTCACCAAATCCCAAGTCAATTCTGAACGAAAACCTGATGACACACATGTGACTGGGCTCCAGACGTCAGAAAATCTGGTTAGGGTAGAAGAAAGTGGTAAAGAAAGGTTCTAAATCAGGTGTGCTGATGGTGTCGGTGCAGCAGGCGGGCTGGCTTATTAATGAGGAAGCACCCGGGAAGGAAGCAGGGTCCGCGGGGGGACCGCGCCCTGCAGAAGCCCTCTCAGGTCGCACCTACACGCCCCGAGTCTCATTGCTGATACGAGTTGATCTTCTCCCTCCTTACCAGGTTCTGTAGAATTTGTTCATGCTGTGCTCTCTCCGATGAACCCCAACTCTGTGAGATTCCTACCTTTCCCAAAGTGGCCAGGAAGAGCTGGTTGTAAAATACAGCTCTCGGATCCTCCACATGCTGACATCATAACCCCACGGCCCTGCTACGACAGGACCTTTGTAAGCTGACACTTCCCTGCAGCACCATGGCTGACAATTAATGTTTTTGGTTAAGTTTCATGTTGGTCTTACCATATTACTGGAAATCCAGCTTGGGTGGAGCAATAGAGAAACAACAGAAGTGAACAATCTGACACGAGAAGTTTGGGTTTAATTAATTAGTATTAAGAAAGCAGCTTAAACCCTTGAATGAAGCCAGTCTATGCATGCAAGAGGTCATTAACACTTTCATGACTTTTCCCCATATCATTATAGAGTTAATTAAAGAATGCAAATGTGGCTGAATTTGGTGAACCGCATATGCATTTGCATTCATGTGCACGGTCATTACCTTCCTCTGGATATAAGAGCTGTCCAACCTATTCACCCAAGAGCAAGTGTACCCACAAAAGAGAAGAAGCAGGAAGCAACCCTGCAGAAGTGCTGAGAACTTAACAGTGAGTCAGAGACATCATGATGGAAAAGTAAGTGTATGAAATTTATCCTGGACAAATGATAGCCTGAGTGTCTCTTTGTCCATATTATTATAGATCAATTTGCAATTACCAATAATGTAATTACTTTTGATCATCCTAGCGAATTTTTAATCACACGTGCTAACAGTGATATGGAAAGCACAAAACACACTACCCAAAAATTAATACTGTTTCGTCTTAAATTGCATCATATCTTTATAGCACATTTCCTTTGCAAGTATGACTGACTACTGACTAGCTTAATTAAGCTAATGTTAAAATTAATTGTCACTCCCAGAACATGTATCAATTAATGGCTGAGACAAATGACACATAGACTTCTTTTCCCAAAGATTGTTCAAAGTGTTCTAAGATATAAGACTTTAATGGATGTTTAAAGCATAAGCATTTGAAGTAGAAGAAAAAGGAATGAGTGGTTGAGGACTGAAGTTTTGCCATCACAAATCCACACTGTGGAACAGCATCATAAAAGAAAGTCATAAAACTGACCTCATGCCTTCAAAATGGAAACACAGAGAGAGAGGGAGAGTCGGGCACATTCCTAAAGGGCCTCTGCTGCCAGGAGGCGCCCCACTGCAAAGTCCATAAAGTTCACTTGTGTGAAATGCAGAACCTTGTTCCTGGGAAGGTAATTAGAAGCAGTGCTGTCAGTCCACGCAAGCTCACAGACACTGAGTGTACGTACATCAAAATAAAGATGGAGAGGCTGACACTGTCCCCCACGGACCACATGCTGGTCTGAGCGTCCCAACAACCCCAGGCCTTGGGTTCCCAGCCAGCACCCTTCCCCAAATCAGAGGAGAAGCTCGCTGCTTTGAGGGTGAGACTGGGCGGGCCAGGAGAGCCTGGGTGACCACAGAGCAGCCAGAGCCGGGCTGACTCAGTCGGGGCTGGTGCTTCAGGTCCTGGCCGTGATCCCAGGCGTGTAAACGGACGATGTGATCAGGCGGGTTCCCAGGGAGCAGAGCTGAGACGAGGGTCCAGTGGCACGTGCTTTACTGAGGATGTGCTCTTAAAAGGTAGAACCTGTCAGGGGTGAGCACATTGGGGCAGGAGGGAAAGGGCGGGCCTCAGCAGCCTGATCCGTAGGTCGGTGGGTGCTTGGCTCTCCAGCAGGAGCGCACAGAACCGATGGCCACCTTGGTACCACTGCACCTCCACCATCAACTTGTCCCTCCAGGGAAGTGAGAGGCAGTGATCCATTAGCACCAATACTCCCAGCAGCCAAGGGATGGCACACCCAGCCTGTACAGGGCTCAGGCGGCACCATGTCCCTGCCTGCATGTCCATGGGGCAGACACTTGGGCCACCCACCATGAAGCTGGTCTGTGCAGACAGGTCATGGAAAGTCAGGAACCTGCAAAGTCTCAGGTGGGAAAATTGGGCTTAGGCGATTGAGTGTTTTGGATTTATTTTGTGTTAATATTTGGATAATTTTGTATGTTAATATTCCTTGGGGTTTTCTATTTTTATTTTTAATAAGCCGAAGAATTATTCAAAATGACTTTGTTGATTTTGCACGGGCTCAGAGTTTCAGATGATGCCAGTGATTCACGTAAAGCTTTACGATGTGATTGGTGTGAAGCTCGGTGCGGGGCCACGTAGATTTGACTCAGCCTTCCAGGGGCGAGTCCTGTGGCACGTGGCCCAAGTCAGAGGCACCGATGGAGACCGTCTCTGCGAAGCCTGGAAGGTATCCCATGTTGTCCATAGACCAGACTCATGGGAGACTTGCCCGTCTGTACTGCGAGTGCCTCGGCCTCCAGAGCACAAAGCAGGCCCCTCTCTGGCCCTTCTCCAGCCTCTCTCTGGCCCTCTGGGGCAGCTGCAGACCTGGTGCCCCGTCTCCCCTTCCGAGAGGCTGTGCAGCTGGCATTTGCCTCCTCGTTAGACCTCAGGTGTTGGCGTGGGGAGACCCTGGGCCGGGGCGGGACTGGAGCATCCTGCTCTCTCCGCAGGCTCCCGGGAGATGGATCCGCTCCTGTGCTCTCAGCCCCCACCCTGGCCCGGAGCCCCCAGTTCTAGATGCAAGAATAGGAAAACCTCACCACTGCCCCCTCACACAGCAGCCCCGTCCAGGCCAGGGCCTCCTGAGGGTCTGGCCTGAGGTGGGAAAACCATGACCGTGCACATAGTTCACAAAGTTCTAGACTCACCATTGGCGGTGGTCACCTCCAAACACCCACACTTCCTGGGCAGAACCGGGGGGCTCTGTCCCCACCTGACTGCCCCAGACCTCTGGTTCCTCCCAGCACCCTCTCCATCCCAAGCAGGCATCCCCACTGAAGGATTCACGAAGTCCCTCAGCGGTTTCAGACCTCAGGAAGAAGAGGATACGCATGCAAATCACTGCAGAACAAAGAATTTAATAAGTGCAACATGGGCAATGTGTTTCTGAAGAAGATACTTCAGGAAGTTTCACTAAATCTCCCTGGGTGGCTTTGATCCCCACCTCACGGAAGCTGTGTACCCCGGGGACCCTGCTCCCTCCCTCAGATGTACTGCCATCCTTCCTCTCTGACCCCGATGCCCACAAAACCAAGTGAGCCAGAAAAGGAAGATAATGAAAGACAGAGGATACAAACAAGGGGTGGAGGATGCGGCCAGCAAGGGACGGAGGTGAACATACAGACCAGCTAATTGTTCAAGGAAAATGCATCCGAGGAAAAAGAACAGCATTAAAACAGAAAAGAGGTTTCATGGAAAAAACACAAACACAGGCAGACAAAAAACTCATGATTTTCCAGATATGATAAACCAGATAAAAGTTTTTAAAATAGAGAAGCAAAACACCACGCTGAGCTGCAGGCTTGGAAGGCGGATGCATGTCAGACCCTCAGGGCCGCTGCCACGACGTGGCACAAACTCACGGGCTTGGGTGGGAGAAGGTGCTGTCTCACCATCTGGAGGCTGAAGTCTGAGCCCAGGGTGTGTGCTGGGGAAGAAGCCCCCACCACGGCCTCTTCCTGGCCCCTGGCAGCTCTCAGCCTGTCCTGCGGCCTCTGACTCTGTGGTCACCTTGCATGTCTACATCATCTCCCGTCTGCCTCCAACCTCCGTGCTTTAGGACACCAGCCATTGGACCAGGGCCACTTGGGTGACTCTGCAAAGACCCCATTTCCACAGGAACCTCCTCTTTCTGAGGTATGGGGCTGGGACGTCAACATACGTTCTTTTGGGGGCCACGGTTCAACTGAACATGACAGCTGTTGCCATGGGAGAGAACAGGTCTAGATAAAAATTTTACGTCTTGAACTCCAGAGAACTACAAAGAGCTAAGCTAAGGGAAAATTATGAAATAAACAAACCAGAATCACGAAGTGAAATTGAAGCAGTGAAAGAAATCATTAGGAACAGGTATATATATATATATATATATATACAACTTAAAAATATTTTGAATAACAAAAAATACTAAACTAAAACAAGAGCAATGAAAGATGATTGTGAAGAGATTAGTTTTACTTCTAGCACATGAGAAATGGACAGCACTCAACAACTGTCGTCAGATGACTGGTAAACTTCTTTGTCATCTAAGTGTTTCATTTTATATCAGCATATTTTAAATCACCTGCTCTGATACAGCCTCTGATTCTACAGTATTTTAGGGGACCAGACATTCACTTTTATTATAACAACACTGTTACTGGTGAATGTGTCTCACTTACATCTGCAGACCCTGGGAGTCCCAGAACTGGGCCATACAAGTGCCCTAGTGCAGGCAGCGTGGGGCTGGGCAGCCAGAGTGCCCCCTGGTGAGCAGCGTGCGATGTGTGTTCTCTCCACACAGCACCCACCTGACCCCAAGAGGAACAGAAGAAGCGCCTGGGCCCTGCTGTGTCTTCTTCATTCTCACTAGTCAGACAGGACACTTCACCTTCTCTAGGGCAGAACATGTGCACAGGCATGTGTGCACGTGTGTGTGCCTGTGTGCGTCTGAGTTTATCAACGCAGAAAGCCTAGGAGTGTCCCACTAACAGAGTTCCCACCACATGGAGGAAACATGAGGTGTGGGGAGAAGTCTTCCTGCAAAAAGTTAATCATGGAATTTATTAACAAAAAGTTAATAATGGAATTGACAGATTAATCGATGTGATTGCTATTGCATAAAATTTTACGAGAGACTGTTGTAAAAAATGGGAAAAATTACCAATGGTTCCCCAAAAAGCTAGTCTAATAGAAAAACATTAGGCAGTTAATTTTAGGAAAAGCAAAAAGAAAGGCTCTGGGTTCGGAGCACACCATAATGCTCAACTGTGAACAGCACTTGCTGGTGATGGAGCGTTAGTGCAGCTGGATTTCAGTCTGCCGTTCTGCGGTTTGTTTTCTGTCTTTTGTTTCTCTGTTCCTCCTTTCCTGACTTCTTTTGGATGAATCAAATGTTTCCTTAGTATCCATTTTAACTCCTTCACAGACATTTCTCTGTGCATCTTTGCATTGTTCTGGTATTACTGTCATACATGCATATTACAAATACATATACTACAAATGCCATAAAGCAATGGGATAATATTTTCTTTGCCAGTCATGTGTCTTCTTAAAAATTAGGAGAAGAAAATAAAAAGATGTGTAGTCTTTTGTGTTTATCAGTTTGATGCAATTTGTTTATTCTTGCAGATCGGAATTTCTATCTAGAGTCATGAAGAACTTCCTTTGGAAATCCTGTAGTGCAATTGTGCTGGCAATGAAATCTCTTCACTGCGTTTTCAATTTTGAATGGTGTTTGAGAATTCGCTGGAGTTAGAATCTTGGGTTGATAGGTTTGTTGTTTTTTTTTTCTTTTGTCACTTTGCAGTCTTGTTCCATTGTCTTCTGGCCTCCATTGTTTCTGATAAGAAATCAACTGTAATTCATACTGTCACTCACTCGTACAGAATTGTCTTTCTCCTCTGGCTGCCTTCAAGTTCTTCTCTTTACCTTTGGTTCCAATACTGTGACCGCGATGTGCCTGGTGGTGTTCTCTTATGTTTATCCTGCCTGGGAGTTTACTGAGCTTTTTTGATCTGCAAGTTTATACTTTCTACAAAATTTGGGTAATTTTTGTCTGTTCTTCTGGATTCCTCTACACGTACGTTACACTGATCAGTACTGTCCTACCGGTCAATGTGACTCTGCCCATGTTTTGTTTTGTTTTGTTTCCATATTTCTTCTTTCTGTTTTTCAGATTGAATGGCTCATTGATACTTCCTTCTAACACCTGTAATCTATTCTTAAGCTTATCCTATTAATTTCTCATTTCATATATTACACTGTATTTTGGATCTTCAATTCCAGAAACATGGCCTGTTTCTACATTTGTGCAGGTTTTTGATAATGTCTTTCAGTAAAGTTGTATAATTTTCCTCCTAAAAGTCTTTCGTGTCATTCTTTTATATTTATCTTCATTACTATTTTTGGATGCTTTGTAAGTGGTATATCTTAAAATTACATTTTCTACCTGTTGCCCTTATATAGAACTACAATTGAGTTTTTATACTGATTTCATTTTTGGTAACCTTTTATAAACTTTCTTATTAGTTCTAGTATTTTATCTATAAAAATGTTTTATTTAATATTTATACAATCATTTTATTTGAAAACAATAATAGTTTGGTTTCTTCTTTTCCAAAATTAATAGTGTTGTTTTTTTTATCTTATTTTAACAGCCAGGACCTCCTATTCAGTACTGAGCCACAGTGCTGGTAGTGGTGTATGAGGTGTCTTTTCTTGTTCATCATCTCAAAGGGATATTTTTCAAGCCTTTTAAAACATATTTGTTAAATATGGTGTTTATTGTAAATTCTTGTACCCTCTCTTTATCTGATTAAGAAAGCCCTAGTTTACTGAGCTTTTAAGCTAATGCTGAATTTTATCTTGCGTCTACTGGGATGGTTATGCAATTTTTCCTGTATTAACCTGCTAATATGGAAAATAATTGACTGATTTGTTAAATGCTAAATCAACCTTGCTTTCCTTGCACAAATCTGACTTAGCCAAAAATGTGTTATGCTTTAACTACATTGCTGAATTAGTTTTACTATGTCATTAAAACTCATCAATGTTTCCCCCCAAATAACCTGAAGTTGAGTGACAATTTACTCTGTCTTTTCTCAGACAGAGGCTGATGAAAGTTCTTAACCTCTCCAGGGCTGGTGGGGGGACCAGGGCAGCTGCAGGTAACTGGCTACTTCTTGGGAGCTGGAGCAGTGGAGGGCAGGCCCCTGCACCTGGTCAGTGGGTTTCTAACATCTAAGGCAGTGTCTTTGACAGCCAGTCAGAGTCCATAGTGACGGCACCAGTTTACACTCCCACCAGCAGTGTAGGAGGGCTCCCTTCTCTCCACATTCTCTCCAGCATTCATTACTTGCAGACTTCTTGATGATGGCCATTCTTACTGGTGTGAGGTGATACCTCATGGTAGTTTTGATTTGCATTTCTCTAATAATTAGCAATGTTGAGCATCTTTTCATGTGCTTGTTGGCCATCTGCCTGTCTTCTTTGGAGAAATGTCTTTTTAGGTCTTCTGCCCATTTTTTGATTGGGTTGTTTGCTTTTTTATATTGAGCTGTATGAGCTATTTGTATTTTTGGAAATTAATCCTTTGTCAGTCACATCATTTGCAAATGTTTTCTCCCATTTCATAGGTTGTCTTTTCATTTCGTTTATAGCTTCCTTTGCTGCGCAAAAGCTTTTACGTGTAATCAGGTTGCATTTGTTTATTTTTGCTTTTGTTTCCGTTACTCTAGACAGATCCAAAAAGGTGTTGCTGTAATTTAAGTCAAAGAGTGTCTGGTTACGTTTTCCTCTAGCAGTTTTAGACTATCTGATCTTGCATTTGGGTCTTTAATATATTTTTGGTTTATTTTCATACATGGTGTCAGAGAATGTTCTAACTTTGTCTGTGACATGTAGCTGTCCAGTTTCCCAGAGCCACTTATTGAAGAGACTGTCTTTTCTCCATCGTACGTTCTTGTCTCCTTTGTCATAGCTGGAGACCTAACCTCACTACTTTAGTCTGCTGTTTCTGGAAACCAGAAACCACCATTTAACTTCAAAGTATTTTTATTCATTACCTTTATTAAATGAAACTAAAGTGAAAGAAAGACATGAACAGATGTCAAAAACATGGGGACTGCAGAAAAATCCCGTACGAGATGGACATGGAGCAGAGAGTGACTCTATCGAGAGTGTGAAGTGAGGTGTCACAAAGAAGATATTCCAGCTGAATCTTGAACAGTTAGAAGAGAAGTCCAGACAAAGACAAAAGACGTGGGCACAGCAGGCCGTGGAAGTGGCAAGTGCAGAAGCCAGAGGATGACAGGGCTCTGTGCTCTGCTCAGGGAGGTGTCACGGTGGCTGTCACCATGCATCCCCCGGCCGAGGGCGAGGTGCCAGCGCTGCAGCCCTGGTGCCTGTCCAGCTTCCCTCCCGCTCTGTCCTCCTGAGGTCCACCTCTGCCCTGCCCACCACTGATGGAGGACCCAGCTTCCACGGCAGTCCTGAGCCTCTGTGATTTTCACTCACTGCCTGGCTCTTTCTGGTCCTGAGTCCTTAGTTGGTTTCCAAACTAAATTTAAAGCCCTGGTTCCAACCAGTCTGCATCACTGTGACCCCTCCTGTGACTACCGATGGTGCTAACCACCAAGATCCAGAAGAAACTAGGAGAAGTGGGTTTCTGAGACATGATACGTTAAATCTGAAGCATGGAGAGTTTGAGAAACCAAACATTTCAGCAGGTTGTGGAGATACAAATCCAGCATTAGATGCTGGCCCTTAGAAGTAGAGATAAAAGCTTAAGAGCAATTAGCATCTAAGTGGTAACCGAAGCCTCGGGAAGGACGGGTTACTCTGCTGGTTCCCACAGAGAGAGCAGACCAGTGATCCAGGAGTGAATCTGGAGGGAACACTTAACAGCTGGTGAGCAGAGGGGGATGAAGATCACACGGCCAGCAGCACGGAGCTTCGAATTGTCACTTCAGTTTGCTCTGGATTACGGACTGTGGGGGTTAACACAGTTTCTTACATGCCTAACTTATTACCAGGATGATATCTTGGGCTCTGCAAGAATCCATTTCAACAGCTATTAAAATACATTCTTCTCTTTGAATAAACACCATTAGAAAAGTGAAAAGGATTGTTTCATAGGTCTCCAGATCCTAGCTGGCTTTTTTTTATTTCTCTATTTTTAAATAGTTGGTGGAATTAGGATATAGCAGTTTAGATGCACAGCCACTGAATTGCATTTTGCCAAATTTCTGAAGCTGTGGAGCATCTTCACGGCGAACATGGAAACTGGAATGCCGTACGGGCAGAGAGCTGGAAGGACCTTAGAGTCTTTCTAAACCAACAAACCGATGACGTTTTAAAGAAACAGAAGAACGTCAGGTCAGGTGACATGCCTGCCAGGCAGTCTGCAGCGAAACGGCAGAGCATCCCGTGCAGCTCGGCCCCTCCACCCAGGCCGCTGTCTCAGAGCAGCTGGGAAGCTCATCAGGTTTGTTGAGAAAACTCAGACCACGCCGTTTCTCTGTCTGATCCCCACGCCCCCGAAGCCCAGAGGTGGCACACGTGGCCCAGCGGCGGCTTAGCAATGCCTCAGGGACCAACTGCTGCCTCCCCGCTTGCTGAGGCCCATGGGGGAGACAGTCCACAGGTGCTCTCCTTACCACCTCTGAACTAAACGCTCGATAATTCTGCCCCCGACTTTAACACTGGAACATAACGTCCTTGCTTTCTTTCAGTGTTATCACGGTGACATTCGCAAGGGTATACTGACGACTGTGTGTGCAGTGTAACCTGTCGTGGTGAATCCGGCCCCTGTGACCGCCACCTGGAGCAGGAGGGAGAAGGTTCCCACCTGCCCCCTTCCCACACCTCCCCCCTGGTGTATCTGACTCACTTCAGTGATCGCGTCTTGCTTTTCCTTAGAGTTTTACGACACGTGCGTGCCTCCCAGAGCACGTGCAGTTTAGTGTTGTCTGCCTTTGAATTTTATGTAAATTGAATCACACTGTATGTATGTTTTTGGGACTTGGTTTCTCTCCTCGATACGGTGTTTGTATGATTCACCCTTGTTGTTATCTGTATCTAGCATTCATTTATTTTCATGGCAGAATAGAATCGCACTGAGTAGATAATCTTCAGTTCATTTTTCCATCCTGCTATGGTGGGACCCTGCGGGGTGAGCTCCCTTCCCCCGGGGAGGACAGCTACAACCTGATGCACCACAAGAGCAAGAAGCAGCTACCTGAAGGGACCAGAGGGAGGCCAGAGGGAGGAGGGGATGGAGAGCTACGTGATCAGCGCCTCTTCCCAGCGCTTTCAGCCTGGGACATGGTGTGCTCTGCACAGCAAGTGCAGTGAAACGTGTGGAGAGCATCCCCAGGGAATAACTTGGAGTCTTTTTGGCATGAGGACCAGAGACATGAAGCTGAGATGCGGTCTGGATGCTGAAGAGAGTGGTGAAACCCCACGTGAGAGAGAGACAGACCACGGGTCCCACATGCTGCCCCCCTCGTGACGGGCTGCCCACCAACCACACGCGCGACATCTGAAGTCCCCTGAAGACAAGAGATCTGAATGGACTGAGACTGTCCGCGCTCCATCCCAGCCAAGAAAACATTTACCACGCAAAGGAAACACCACCAAGGAGAGAAATAGAGAACTCTGGCTGGGAGAGGCTACTTTCCACTCGACCAGGATACAATCTCAAACCACTCAGCACGTGAGGAGCCAGGGAAATAGGACACGTTCTTAAGGGGAAAGAAATCCATCGTCTGACTCCAGGTTCCGTTCCAGATGTTGAAATTTACATTTCAGTCTTCTGCTTCTCTATTAATTTTTGTGTATGTTGTTCGTAAGGGGTCTGATTCCTTTCCTCCCTTCCTTCCTCCTCCACTTCCTTTCTCCTCCTCCTCCACTGTTTGGTTACTCAACTGTCCCAACCCCATTTATGGAGAAATCCTGTCCCTGCCCACTGAGCTGGGCGCAGCCTCCCCTAAGCTTTACCCGCTGCGCGTCCGGGACACGGGAACCCATTTCCAGGTTTTCTGTCCTGACACACTGTGGTGACTCAGCGGCAGGGGTGATGCTGACACAGCAATCTTCCCGCCTCATTCAAGGGGGTCCCAGCCTCTTGCGTGCTTTGTAGTCCCACCCATATCCTAGAGGAAGCTTATCAAGCTACACTAAAGAATAAAGTGAACAGAAACCTGATGCAAGAGTGACTGAGGCTACTTGGAAACAGGCATCAAAGTGGGAGACTCTGGACTACGGTGTTGTGGCTACCAGCTCACGGGTGTTCTTACTTCGCCATTTCTTTTGACTCTTAAAATGTCTCACGGTAAAGCTTTGACGTTCTCCCTGTAGAGGTCTACTACGAGACTTCTGAGTGATGTTTATGGGGCTACTTTAATGGTATATTTTACAAATGTTCATTTTTCGTTTCTTTCTTGACTATAGAAATACAATGCAACACAATATGCAACATGTAGTATATTCAACAAGGCAAAGCTCACTCCCTAGTTCTAGTGACTTGTCCACAGATTGCTTTGGCTTTTCTATGTGCACAGTCACCTGTGAATAACCATAACTTAATTTCACACTCTTCATGATGTTTGTTTCTTTCAGTACTTACTGCCCTGGCTGAGACTCCCAGCGGGGGGGGGGGGTGTTGCCCGTCCTCTGTCCACTGTCCGGCAAACTCTGTGCATCTCACCACGGAGTACAGTGCTCGCCGCAAGCCTTCCAGGGCTCCTTCATCAGATAAGGGATTCCTGTCTGTTCTTAGTTTGCTAAGAAGTGCGCTTTCTTAAAAATTACAAATGCAGGGTGAGCTCCACCAAACGCTTTTCGTGAGCCTCAAGGTGGTTGTACTGTTTTCCTCATTTGGTTGTCAACACAGTAAATTTATTGACTGATTTTCTGCTGATAATCTACTTCTAAAGCAAACCCACCCTGATGAGGAGGCGCTTTCTCTTCCTTCACTGAGTCCAGTTAGCTAACATCTTGGGGTAGGTTCTGTGTCCACGGTCATCATGGAATCTTCCTTTCTGGTTACATCCTCGTCTGGTTTCCGTATCAAGTTTGTGCCAGTCTCATACAACGAGCCAGGACGTGTCTCTTCCTTTCCTGGTTTCTGAGCTCGTTTGTGTGAGACCAGCGTTAATCCTGGAAGGCTTCCGAGACCTCAGCAGGCCCAGCGCCCCTCAGAGCAAGTCGTCGGCAGACTCCGGGGGACAGCCTGTCTCCCTGCCTCCTCTGCTTGGTGCGCAGCCGCGGTGCTCTCCTGGGGGCCCGCAGGGGTTCAGCAGGCGAGGGGCTCATCTTGACGCGGGCACGTCCCCCACAAGGCTGACCTCACGGCTCCAGGACAGTCGGCTGTGTTGCTCTGCCTCCCCCGAACCTTCCCGTTTTCCGCCAGTAACTGACCCCGGAGGTCCTGCTGCCACAGACCCTTGGTGCCTTTGTGGCACTTTCTTCCCCCAAACACAGTCTTTTCATTCCATTTCCCTTCAGCAGGAACATTCAGCCCAAGGACATCCTCAGACAACAGAAACTCAGCTACCCTTCTCCGTCGCGTCAGATAATCCTCGCGGGGTGGCGGGGTGGGGGGGGCTTTCTTCCTTCTCTACCGAACAAATCAGCTGTACCCTAGAGGAAGGGGCGGCTTCACAGTCGGTCGCACATTCCACCCAGGTGGGCCTCAGCCACGAAGCAAACTCAAGCTCACATTTAAACACTTCTCGAGTGAGCACAAGACTCAGTGTGCTTTTTAAATGAGTGAAATGGAAACTTCGTTCTCCATCTGTCTGACCCGAGGCAAGTCTTACAACAAATGTCTTCGAGATGCACATCTCAGAGGAACAGGGCAAGAATCAGAGCCCTGCCGAGCAAGCCGGAAGCACCAGCAAAGCCTGTGACCGCACACACGCTCACGTGCTGCAAGGGGAGCAAGAACTTCCGGCTCTGCCTGGTTTTGGTCAACGTGCCTGCCAAATTTTAGCTCTTTCCAATTTCAGGGTTTAGTGTCTATAACATTTGCGATTGTCAGTGTTCTTTGAATAAAGAAGGACAAGACCTGAACCTCTGCTGCGTTTTGTGGCTGCACGTGTCAGCTGCGGTAAAGCACCACTCTTTCCACTACAGGGGAAGATGGACCTTCTTCAGTCTGGGCCCAAAGTCATTATTACTTTAACAGAGAGAGAGAGGAAGGAGACTCTCTGAAGTACATGCAGTGGGTTGTGGCACTCAAAACCCCATCTGCGGAGAGCCTCTGGGTGAGCAGTTTACACCCCAGACGACACACCGTCCACCAACTGCACCAACACCTAAGCGTTAGCCAGCAGGGACACCAGAACAACTCATTCCAGTCTCCAAACTTCCCAGGAAGTGGACAGGCGAGACTCCAGAACGTCTTGGCAGCTTTGACCATCACTGTCACCGGTAATTGCACGTCTGGAAGCGGCTGCAGAGATCTGGCCTACATCCTGTCTCGGTGGTGCTCCCCTTAGCTGCCTGGGAAGCAGAGGGCAAAAGGACCAGGCTGTAGAAGTGAAATTCAGGACTACCTTTTTGTCACTGGCTCACAGACCTGCAAGTCTAAGTGGAGAAATTATCAGACAGCGCAGATGGAGGACGCTCGCTGGTGGGTCAAGAAGACGTGGGCTGGACCCTGTCTGTCCATGGCACCAGCATCAGCAGTCACTGAAAGAGATTATCTTCACCCATAAGTTTACAGAGGCTTGAATTCATTCTCTGAACTTCCACTCAAAGGTCACAATCATTTTTATGTTAAAAAGCAGGGGAAGCTTTTCTATTGTGATCAGAAATAAACTTCTTTTAAGTATTTCACCCTCGGTACCACAGAAGTAAGAGTGGCATTTTGTGGAAACAAATAAAGAGGTGGAAATACAAAGAGCCCTCAAGTGTAGCCCAGTGGGCACCCGTGTGCAGATCACGGAAGGGCTGAGCCCCGTCTGCCACTGGGCAGGGCCACCTCGTCCCCTGTTGCTGGGCCACCTCCTCACTGGCCCTGACTCCATAACGGGTAATCTGAGCTTCGGTCTGTTCCTGGCCTGAGGTTGGCTCTGGCTGTCGTGGACCCACATGTCTCTGGAAGACCAGCCTGGGCTTCTCCCCACATGTCTGGACACCAGAAGTCCAAGATGGAGCATGAGCCCTGCCCCAGGTCAGGGGTCCCACTGGCTTGTTCCGACGTGGGCAGGAGGGGTCCCACAGGACAGGGGTGCAGGTGGGAGTGGCTCACTGAGATGGGTCTTTTCCTGAAGATCCCATCCCTGCGGTGCAGAGAAGGGCTCAGTGTGCTGCTTTGACTAGACCAGGACCCTCTGTAATTTTCTGGGACATTGTCACAAACTGCGACGTCCACGGGGAGTGGAGCGGACAGATGACTGGACAGAGATGTGGTAGATACATGCAATGGAATATTATTTGGTCATGAAAGGAGCCAAATCTTGCCATTTGTGACAACACAGACGGACCTTGAGGGTATTATGCTCAGTGAAGTAAGTCAGACAGAGAAAGGCAAATACTGCATGATCTCACTTATATGTGGAAGTAAAAAAGCTTATAGAAGCAGAAATCGGATTTGTGGTTATCAGAGGTGGAGGCTGGGGGCAAGGGGAGTTTGGAGGAAGTTGGTCAAAATGTACAAATATCCAGTAATAAGGTGAATTAAATACAAGGAATGTAGTGCACAGTGTGGTGTGTTATATATGAAAGATGTTTAAAGAGAAGATCCTAAACGTTCTCATCACAAGGGTGTTTGTAACTATACGAGGAAATGCATGTTGAATAAATTAACTGTGATAACCATTTCGTAACATATTTGTGTCAAGTCATTGTGCTGTACATCGTAAACTTACACAGTGCTGGAGGTCAACTATATTCAGTAAGATTGGAAATAAACTTACAAATCAACTGAAAAAAAATAGTTATTTGTCTTATTTGCTTTTAAGTGTAATAGTAACTCATGGTCATTATTAAAAGTCACTCCCCTAAACACAGCTTCTCAGAATTTACGAATGTTTTTTTCTTTCCATTTCTCTATAATTTTACAACTGTATTTTTTATATGTTATTATATTATTCTTACTTCTTGGCAACATTTTTTTACTTAAGATATTAAACATTTTTCCATACCAACTTATATAAATCCACTTTATTCTTCTGAATAGCTACATGATATTCTCTTAATAAGACATAATTTATTTAATCATTTCCTACTGATAAAAATTTAGAATATTTAAACAATTTTTCTACAACAAATAATGCCTTCATGGACGTCTTGCAAAGCCACTAGTTCTTCTGTTTTTTCCCAGAAATATAATTGCTGGGTTGAGGGTTATGCATTTTAAAAATCTTGATGTGCTAGGCCTATTGCCTTCTGATTCAGTTATTTCCTTCTCCAGTAATGCTGCATAACCAAACCCCACTATCCTTACATTTAATAATCTAATAGCAAGTGCCTCTTGATCCTGTGACCCCTCCTTGCACTGCTGGTCTTGGCTGGCCCACCTGTGTGTCTGCAGTCAGGCTGAGTGGGGGATGTGGCAGCCCTGGCTGGGAGGTAGGGTCCTCTGCTCTGCTCAGACATGTCCTGTCCTCCAGCAGAGCAGCCCGGCACGTTCTCCTGGTACATTCCCCCGGTACGGGGAGGGGGCAGAGAGAGAGGCACATGCCTTTCATGTCCCTGCTTGCACTCTGCGAACACCCCAGGGGCTGCTGCAAGTCTCACCACCAGGTCATGAGGCAAGGGGCTGATTTAGGGAGGGGTGCAGAACTGAAGACGTCTGAGCTACCCACCAGCTACACCCTCCAAAGAGTGGGAGCTCACTGACCGTCCTTCCAACATCAGATGAGAACCCTTATTTCACCACAGGCTTACTAACATTGGATGTTATCAATTTTAAAACTCTATGCTAACCTGGGAGGCAAAATACTACATTAATCATGGCTTTCATTTTATTTCCTGTGCCAGCAGTGGGGTGTGTCCATTTCCATACATACACTGGCTATTTGCATTTCTTCTGTGAATTGCCTCTGCATATGCTTTTTCCATTTCTCCATTGGTCTCATTTTAAGAAAATATTTTAATATTTTCTTCAAAAAAGCAAAGTCTCATTTTTCCTTTCCTAGACCACTATTTTATTCATAAAGTTGAACTGGAGGCTAAAACAGGTAATTCAAGCAAATAAAATCTTTATTTTGCACTCAATTATCTGGATATTCCCAGGGAAAATTTTGATATGAATAATCTTCATAATTTCTTTAATTCTCTGCTTTACTTTCCAGTTTCAGCCAAGAAAAAATTAGATTATTTCTACTGTACTTTGGAGAATTAAAAAATGAAACACTGTTCCACTTTGTCCTTAACAAAACAAAAAAATCTAATACTAGAAATCAACCCCACCTTTCTAGACTCAGCAGGTGTTTTTAACAAAGCCTTTCCTATTGTTTTTTGCCTAAAATCTTCCAAAGATTTCTATTGGGCACACACTCTTTTTGGTCATTTTGGTTGAACTGATGAGTCCAGTTGTGGAAGAAAAGAGGGCTCTCAGGTCAGCTCTGTTCAGCCTCCTCCAAACATCGCCCCATCCTCAGGAAGGTCGGCAGGACCCCGGGACGGGCAGTGGGATGCCAGCCAAGGGTTCAGCCAAGAAGACAGGCTATTCCAATAAGAGGAATAAAAATGATAACGGTACAATCATTATTTACAGAAGCTACAATTACCCCTCTGGAAATTAAAAAGAAATAAAATTAAAGTTATATTCTTGGAAAAGTGGCTGCATGTAAATTCAAGTTTTAGATTTCAGTAACAGGCCTACATACACTAGCAACAGTGACAAATTAGAAAACATGGAAAGAGAGCGATATGTGTGCTACCATTTTTGACAGGATCTAAAAGAATGAAAGTCTTTGAAAAGTTTAAAGAAAAGGGTGAATGGCATATGTGACAACTACACAGTATTTTTATGAGATAAGGAAGGTTCTCCATTTCTAATAATGACTAAAAATACTAATATTCATGACTGCTGGACCACTCACTTGCAGGGAACAACTACAACATCCAGACATCACACAAAGGCAGCTGCCTGCAGGTCCAGAGAAGCCCATGGATTCAGGGGTGTCCACCCCAGAGAAGGGCACTTGTATAGGTCAGTGCCTATCTCTGTAGCTCTTAGACAGGACCAGACACGATGGCCCTTGTGCACAGGGGCCCACAGGGGCTGGTGGTGAAGGCGTGGAGAACCAGACAGCAGAATCCAGAGACCATGACCTCCAGAGGGAGCAAGGGAGAAACTCCTATAAGGGAAATCCAGAGAGGGGATCCCCAAGTCCTGTCTGTCTCTGAGCTACACACATGCGGGGCAGACTCTGAGAACAACCACTCAGGAGCAAAGATCTGAGCGAGGCAGGTTCTGCAGCCCCACAGGACAGCTGTCTTCTAAACCTGAGAACCAGCAGAGGAAAGCAGCAGAAGCCTGAGTCTTCACAGCTTAATGTTTTGAATGTCCACAATTTCCAAAATTATCTTACAAACAAACAGAAAACCCAGGGAAGTGGAACTCATCCTCCAGAGAACAGAAAATAAATTGATATCAAGCCTGAGATGACTCAGATTTGTAACTAACAGGTAAAGATTTTAAAGTAGATATTATAACTATCACCAGTGAAATAAAACATGTTCACTGAGAAATGGAAATGACAAAAAAGGAACCGAAAGAAAATTTCTAGAACTGAAAAAACTTAAATAAAAAATTCACTGGACGGACTTAACAGCCAAACGGAGTTGACAGGAGAAAGAATAAGCAAAACTCAATCAATAAACAGAAATGACACAGTGACAAGAACCAAGAGCATAAGGATTCATTTAAAAAATATGGAATCCTGAGGGACCTATTAGGTGAGATCAAACAATCTTGCACATGTACAACTGAAGACCAAGAAGGAGAGGAGAAAGAATGGGACGGGGAAAGTATTTGAGGGAACAATGGCTGAATTTTTTCATCTTATAAAAGACATAACTTTACAGATTTAAGATGTTCAGTACAGCCAAGCTGGACAAATATAAGAAGGTCGTCCTGAGGCTCTTCACAGTCAAACTACTGAAGCTGAACTGGAGACTAACTTGTGAAAGGATGGAAAAACATAACACATTAAATATGGGGATGATAATTCAGTTAGTGGCTGATGTTTCCTCAAATGTGAATGAGGCCAGGAAAAAGGAAGCTGTTGACCCAGAATTCTCTAGTGAAAATATCCTTCAAGAATCAAGGCAAAGTTAAGTTTATTTTTGCAAATAGGCAGCTGGGAACTTCCGATTTCAAGCTCCACTTCAAATTCGCCACTCTGTCTTAACAAAAAGTAAAACACCAAACAGAATGAAAAATCAGCAACTGTTCTTGAATCTGAAAGAGAGGAAATAACACCGGGCAAACCGCTGCCCCCAAGACTGGAGAGACGTACCGGCACAGAGAATCACAGTTACCGAGCAGGAACCTGGGGCAGACAACACCATGGGGAACAATGAGGGGAGGAAAACCTGAATGTAATTGATGAATTCCTGGAGGCTCTGTGGGGACCCAACCATAGGGACTCCACACTTTGTGTGCTTTATCCCCAGGATCTCTACCAGCCTCCCATGGTGAGTATCTGAGGGAGCTCCCCTCAGGTCTCCAGCAGAGAAAGGGGGAAAGAACCACTTTAAAATACTCCAGAGCACCATGTTCCCTTAACAAGGCCCACTCTCAGGGAAAACTAGTTAACCTGAGACTAAACTGCTGGAGTATCATCAGAGGCTAACTGACCTAGGGAAGGGGAAATGCACTCCAGTCTACTCTACCCATCCTGTCCCACCTACAGGAGGACAAAGAGGGAGAAACACTTGTGAAGTTCACAGCCCAGAGGCACAGGCTTCACTAAAGGATCTAGACCCAAGCATAGGACTACAGAACACTTCCTCTCCCCCCACGCTTCACCACCACATCACCAGCAGCCCATCTGCAGCAGTTCCTGTTAATCAGTACAATTTGTTCAGACACCAAGAAAGCACCATGAGACAAAGGCCAAAACTCACAATTGGAAGAAACAGAGCAAACATCAGAACCAGACATGGCAGGATGTTAGAATTATCAGACTGGGAATTTAAAATAACTATGATTAACATGCCATGGGGTTCAAATTGGATAAAGTAGACAGCATGCAAGAACTGATGGGCAACGTAAACAGAGAGGTGGGAATCCTAAGAAAGAGCCAAAAAGAAACACTAGAGATCAGAAACACTGGAATGAAGAATGCCTTTGATGTTCTCATTAGTGTGTGTGTGTTTGTGTGGGTGTGGGTGTGTGTGTGAGATAGATGCAAAATCCTCAACAAAATGTTAGCAAATTGAATAAAAACATGATTTAAAAAATTATATACCACAACCCAGTGGGATTTATCTCAGGTATGCAAGACTGGTCCACTACTCACAAATCAATTAATGTAATCTAGCACGTGAATAGTCTTAAAAAGAAAAATCATTGGTCAGATCAATGGATACAGGAAAAGAATTTGACAAAATCCAACACCCATTCATGATAAAAACTCTCAGTAAACTAAGAATAGAGGGAAACTTTCTTAACTTGATACAGGCTCTCTATTATAAAAACCTATGGCTAATGTCATAGTTAATGGTGAGAAACTTGAAGCTTTCCCACTAAGCTCAGGTACAAGGCAAGGATGTCCCCTTCCACTACTCTTCTACATCATACTGAAAATCCTTGCAAATGTAGCAAGTCGAGAAAAGGAAAGGAAAGGAAAGATACACAGTTTGGGAAGGAAAAAATAAAACTGCCTTTGTTTGCAGATGGCATGACTGTCTACATAGAAAGACAGTCCAAAAGGATCAACAACAATGAAGAATCTCCTGGAAGTAATACGTGATTGTAGCAACACTGTAAGATACAAGGCTAATATACAAAAGTCAGTTGTAGGGGGAAGGGTGTAGCTCAAGTGGTAGAGCATGTGCTTAGCATGCACAAGGTCCTGGGTTCAATCCCCAGTACCTCCACTAAAAGTAAACAAACCTAATTACCTCCCCCTACCAAAATAAAATAATTAAATGATAAATAAATATTTTTTTAAAAAGTCAATTGTTTTCCTGTATGCCAACAATGAACAAGTGAAAACTGAAATTAAAAAAAAAATTTACATTAGAAACACCCAAACTGAAATGCTTAGGTACAAATACAATGAAATTTATAACTATAACACTCTGATGAATAAATCAAAGAACTAAGGAGAAAATATTTCATGTTCATGGGTAGGAAGATGCAATATTGCCAGGATGTCAGTTTTCCCCAGCTTGATCTACAGATTCAATCAATCCCAATCAAAATACCAGCAGGTTATTTTGTGAATATCAACAAACTAATTCTAAATTTTATAGAGACCCAGAAAGGACAGCACATTGCTGAAGGAGAAGAACAAAGTTGTAGGACTGACGTCACCAGACTTCAAGATTTATTATAAAGCTACAATAATCAAAACAGTGTAATGTTGGTGAAAGAGTAGACAAACAGGTCGATGGAGCAGAACAGAGAGCCCAGAAGTAGACCCACATGAATACAGTCAATCCATCTTTGATGAAGGAGCAAGGCGACATGATGCAGTGAAGACAGTGTCTTCAACAAGTGGTGCTGAAATACTGTGGACATACACACTCAAAAATTTTAATCTAGACACCAGTCTTACACCTTTCATTAAAAAATAACTCAAAGGGATCATAGACCTACATGTAAAAGGCAAAACTATAAAACTCCCAGAAGGTAACAAGGGAGAGAACCTAGGTGACCCTGGGGATGGTGATGCCTTTTTCGAAGGTGATGCCTTTTTTGATACAACACCAACGACACGATATATCAAAGCAAGAATTGATAAGCTGGACTTCACTGAAACTTAAAACTTCTGCTTTGTGAAAGACAATAACAAGAGAATCAGAAGACGAGCCACAGACTGGGAGAATATATTTGTGAAAGACGTATCTAATAAAGGACTATTGTTCAAAATATACAAGAACCCTTAAAACTCAACAATTAGAAAACAAACAGAAGTGGGTCAAAGACCTGAGGAGACATCTCATCAAAGAAGATACTCAAACAGCAAAAAGCATATGAAAATATGCTCCACATCATACGTCATCAGAGAAATGCAAATTAAACTGACATAACACTATGTACCTTTTAGAACGTCCCAAAACCCAGAACACTGACAACACCAAATGCTGACAAGTACGGGGAGCAACACAACCGTCACTTGTTGCTGGTGGGAATGCAAAATGGTGCAGCCACTTTGGAAGACAATTTGGCGGTTTCTTACAAAACTAAACATACTCTTTCTTACCATACAATCCAGCAATTGTGCTCCCGGGTATTTACCCAGATCAGTTGAAAACTTATGTCCTCACAAAAACCTGCACGTGGATCTTTATTTATCTGCAGCTTTATTCATAATTGCCAAAACTCGTACAGCCACTTTGGAAGACAATTTGGCGGTTTCTTACAAAACTGCACACACTCTTGCCATGTGATCCAGCAATTACACCCCATGGTATTTATCCAAAGGAGTTGAAAATATATGTCCACACAAAAACCTGCACATGGATTTGTAGCAGCTTTGTTTATAACAGCCCAAACTTGGAAGCCACCAAGATGTCCTATAGCAGGTGAGTGGATAAATAAACCATGGCACATACAGACATTGAATACTATTGAGTGCTAAAAACAAATGTGCTGTCCAGCCATGAAAAGACCTCAGGACACTGTAAGTGTATATTACTAAGTGAAAGAAGCCAACCTGGAAAATTACGGACGGTATGGTTTCAAATTTATGACATTCGGGAAAAGGTATAACTATGGAGAAAGTAAAAATATCAGTGGTTTCCAAGGACTGGGCACGGACAGGGATGAGTAGGTGGAACAGAAGGGACTTTTAGGGCAGTGACACTACTCTGTAAGATACTATAATTGTGGACACACCTCACAATGCATCTGTCCAAACACATAGAACATACGACACCAGAGTGAACCCCAACGTAAACTTTGACCTCTGGGTGATTGTGACGTGTCTGTGGAGGTGCATCCTTGGTAAACACACACATGCATTAAAAGTCCCACTCTGGTAAGTGGTGTTTGTAATGGGAGGGACCATGCAGGTGTGGCATCAGGGGGTATGTGGAAATTTCTGTACCTTCCTCTCAACTTTAATGTAAACCTTGAACTACTCTAAAATATAAAGTGTTAAAAAAGAATCAAAACAAAATACCTTCTCATATAACAGAAAATACTTTGTTACCAGCAAACTAATACCACAAGGAATGTGAAAGCAAGTGCTTCAGAATGAAAGGAGTTGATGTCAGATGGAAACTTGGACTGTCAGAAGTGAATGAAGAGCATAAGAAATGGTACATATCTGGCCAAATACAAATATGTTTTATTTGCCTTTAATTTATTTATACTACATATGACTATTTAAAGCAAACACTATAACATACTCTGTGGAGTTCATAATGTGTATAGATAAAATATATTTTACATCTATAGCATAAAGAATGTGGGGTGGGAGAAGTATGGACCTATAATTGCAAGATTTCTACATTTTATGTGAATTATTAAAATAGCAACTGTAATAAGAATGTGAAAAGTTACAAGTGTAAAATACAGGTTTCTCTTTTAATGGAGTAAGCACATTGCTCCTTGTCTCTCCACTAAATGCAGCCTTATGTATAAAAAACAAAACCTGAATACAATGCATGGGGCAAATAATTGAGGTCCCTGAAGATAAACAGTAGCAGGCAGGCTGGAGAAGAAGAGCAGAGTTTGAAATGTCACCAAACTAGCAGTGAGTTTACCATATTTTTCCTTCAGTGTGATCTAGCCTGGACGCAGTGTAGTGTAAAATCCTGAGCACACAGTACGGGATAGAGGCTCCAGAAGAGGCTGCCCAGTTATGGGCTGAGTGATGGGAAAGGATCTCCTAACACTCAGAAATCTCCCATTTTTCCTTCCATCCATTCATGCACATCCCAGTCTCTAAGCTACATTGTAGTAGCAGCACGTGCAACAGCAATGACCAAGGTCTGCCCACAGGAGCTTGAAACTGGAGGCAGCAGAACCACCCTCTCCACTTGGAGGAGCTGTGGTGGAAAGAGGGAAGCATGTATCACTGCTTGCTTTCTCTCTCCTCTGGTCGGTTGGGCCTGGACACCTGATCAGCTGCATGAAGTGTAAGCAGAGGAAGGTAGGTGAAGCCCCAGTTTCTGGCTGAGGAACTGAAGTGGGGAGCTTCAGGGAGCTTGAAAAGTACCAGGGAACTTGTGGAGAAGTAGGATCTCAGGAAAGTGAATCCATAAAGTTGTTTATGAACATCTGGGATCACCCTTGAAGTGTGCATGCATAGATCTGACCTTAAACATATATACAACTTCCATAGGATTTAAATAGGACCTAGAGTCCCATAACATGATATTCAAATTATCCAGGATACAATCCAAAATTACTGGACATAAGAATCAGTAAAATCTCAAGTTGGATGAGGGGGTGACAATCAACACACGATGATGCTGAGATGACACAGGTGTTGGTATTACTTGACAAGACTTTAAAGCAATAAAAATGCTCCAGGAAGTAAGAGTTAATGCTCTTGAAAGAAAATATAGAAAGTGAGAGAAAAGAAGTAGAAGACATAGTTAAAAACTAAATGGAAAATTTATAACTGAAAAGTACAGTCATGGAAAATTTAAGACAGTCTCAACAGCAGAGTGGAAATGATGGGAGGAAGAAGACAGAGCCGCTGAAGAAGGATCAATAGAAACTATTCAATATGAACAATGGAGTGAAGAGATTGAAAAGAAAATGACATTTCCAGGGACTTACATGGCAACATCAAAATGTCTAACATTTATGCTACCAGAGTCCCAGGAGAGATGAAAGAGTGTGGTGCAGAAAAGGCATTTGAAGAACAGTGGCTGGAAAATTCTGACATTTGACAAAAGACAAAAACTTCCATGTCTTTTGAGTTTTAAGAGACTCAGTGAACACCAAATAAGAGAAGTCTAAAGAAACACACACTCAACCACAGCATAATTACACAGCTGAAAACTAAAGACAAAAAAAACTTTGAAAGCAACCAAAGTAAAATGACACATTACTCACAGGGGAACACAGATTCAAATGAGTGCAGATTTCTCATCAGAAACCATGGAGGCCTGAAGAAAGTGAAGCATTTTTTTAAATGCTGGAAGAAAAGAACAGTCAACTCAGAATTCTATATCCAGTGAAAAATATCCTTCAAGAACCAAGATGAAATAACCATATTCCCAGATGAAGCAAAATTAAGAGAATTCATTGCCAATAGGTCTGTTACGAAATAAATTCTAAAGGGAGTTTCTTTAGACAGAAGGAAAATGAAACCATAAAGAACCTTGGAACATCTGGGCAAATATTACAGACTGTTCTCCTCTTGAGTCCTTGGCAGTATGTTTGGCAGTTGAAAGCAAAAATTAAAACATTGATTGGTTTCTCAGTGTATAGATGTAATATATAAAACAACTGCAACATAAAGGGTGGAAGGGGTAAAGAAACCTACGTGATGATGAGGGTTCCACATTCCATTTGAAGTGGTAAAACGGTGGTTATAGCTTGACTGTGAAAGTTAAATATGTGTATTCTAGTCCCTAGAGCATTTCTTAAGGAGAGAAAACTATACAAAGAGATAAAACCACATTGGATAAAATAAATACTAAAATGTTCAAATAAGAAATAAGAAAGCAGGGAAGGGGAAAACAGGAACAGAAACCAGAAGGAACAAGCAGAAAACAACTAATAAAATCTTGACCTAAATCCAAGCATATCAATAATGACATTAAACATAAATCCCCTAAGTGCACCAATTAAAAGACAGACATTTTTAGAATATAGGAAAAAACGACCTAATCATATGCTGCCTACAAGAAATTAACTTCCAATATATTGATATAGTAAGTTTAAGGGTAGAAGAATGGAAAACATATGGTATGAAAATGCCAATCAAAATAAAGCTGGAAAGTGACATCAGTAAAATGGTGGAGTAGGCAGAACCAAGTTTGCATCCTCCCGAAGAAACACTGAAAAACCAGCAGATACTGCTTGAAAACACTACAAGTCGGACTACCAACACACAGACATTTGGGGTAATTCCTCATTCAATGTCCTCATTCAAGTGCAGCTGTGCATACTGAGGAATTTAGAACACAGTGCAAATGCTCAGGCAAGATGCATGCTCAGAAGAGACCTGAGGAGACCCTAAATGTTCACCTTGGGCTTGTTCTTTACAAGCACAGCTAATAGTTGAACGAGAGTCCTGGCACAGAACCAATTTTCAAAGATTGTTAGAGGTCTGTCTGTCTGTCTCTGCATCTCTTTGACTCTCTATCTCTCTGTCTCTGTCTCTGTCACTTTTTCTGTATCTCCCTCCTCCACCTCTGTTTTTGTTCATGTTCTTAGTTCCTGGAATTCCAGGAAATCTCTGTCAAAACACTAGTTGAACACAGCTGAGGATCAAAGACTTCAGCATACACATTAGCAGGGAATACAGTCTTTGAAATAACAGTTTGGGAAAGTCTTAAAACAAATAGACAATGTCTAACAACCAAAAACCTAGCAAGCCCTAGGAAAATCAGGGAGCCTGACTTCCAGGGTAATCACTTTATAATACTCCAATGTCATTTTTAGTAGCAGCAGTGAAAACAAAAGGCATACAAAGACACAGGAGAGCATGGCCCATTCAAATGAACAAAATAATCAACAGAAATAATCTCTATGGAAGCCCAGAAATCAGATTTACCTGATAAATATTTTTAAATAACTGTTTTAAATATTTTCAATGACCTAAAGGAAAACATAGACAAATAACTAAAGAAAATTAGGAAAGTGATGTGTAAACAAAATGAGAATACCAATAAAAAGATTGAAGAAACATAAAAAGGAACCGAAAAAAATTCTGGAGCAGTATACAATAATAAAAATGAAAATTTACTAGGGAGGTTCAAGACCAGGTTTGAGCAGACAGAAGAATCAGCAAACTCAAGACAGAACAAAGAAAATCATTCAGCATAAAAAAGTAGAAAGAAAAAAGAATAAAGAAAAGTGAACATAGCCCAGGGGACTTGGGGCAACACTGTCAAGTGAACCGGCATACACATATGGAAGTCCCAGAAGGAGAGAGAAAGTGAGGAAAGAATATTTGAAGAAATAACAGTAAAAAAAAAAAAAAAAAAAGTCCCAAATTTGATGAAAGACATGAAGCTACAAATCCAGGATGTTCAATGAACTCCAACTAGGTTGAATTTAGAGACCTATGTGAGACACATTATAATCAAACTGTCAAAAGACAAAGAGAAAATGCTGAAAGTAACAAAGGAAGAGTGGCTCATCAAGTACGTGGAATCTTCAATAAGATTAACAGCCAATTTATCATCAGAAACCTCGGGAGCCAAAAGAGAGAGGGTTGACATTTTTAAAGTGTTGAAAAAAACCAAACTGTCAACAGAAAATTCTATATTTGGCAGAGCTGGCCATTAAAAATGAGGTATAGACAAGACATTCCCTGAAAAACAAAATCTGAGGGAACTCATTACCACTAGACATGCCCTATGAGAAATGTTAAAGGTAGTCCTTCAGATAGAAATGAAAGGACAGCAGGTAGCAACTCAAAGCTGTATAAAGAAATGAAGACTTCCAGTGAATGTAAATACATGTACAAATATAAAAACAAGTATTTCTGTATTTTGGTTTGTATTTCTACTTTTTTTCCATTAAATTAAAATATATATTTATGAATCTATATTATTGGGCATAAATGTATAAAGATGTAATTTTGTGACAACAATAATATAAACCGGGGAGAACAGAATTGTATAGGAGTAGTTTTGTATGCTTTTAAATATAAATTGGTAAGAACTCAAAATAGATTACTTTAAATTTAGGATGTTAAACATAATCTCCATGGTAACCACAAAGAAAACCTCTTTAAAAATAAGATACACACAAAAGGCAATGAAAAGAGGATCAAATGGTTTACTATTTTAAAAAAAATCAACTAAACACAAAAGAAGACAGTAGTGGAGGAAATGAGGGCCAAAAAAGATGTAAGACATACAGAAGACAAAGAGCAAGATGGCAGAAGTAAATTATTTCTTATCAGTAATTGCTTTAACTCTTCAGTCAAAAGGCAGATGTAGAATGGATGAAAATCCTCATGATTCAACTATATGCTGCCTACAAGAGACTCACTTGAAGTTCAAAAACACAAACAGACCGAAAGTAGAAAGATTGAAAAGACATTTCATACAAATAGTAAGCAAAAGGGAACTAGGGTGGTTATATCAGACAAAATAACCTTGAAATAAAAAACTGTTAAGAGAGACAAAAAAAATACATTACATACTAATAAATGCATTGAACAAAAGAGCCCCCAATATATGAAGTAAACAATTGATACAACTGAAGGGAGAGATGAACAGTTACAAATAAGAGCTGGAGACTTAAATACGCAAGTGCAATAATGGATAGATACGTATACAGAAGTTAACAATGAGACAGAGAACTTGAACGACACTCTAAACCAACTATGGGGAACAGACAATATGGAACACTCTACCGAACAACAGAATACACACTTCTCTCAAGTGCACTGGAACATGCTCCAGGATAGAGCATATGTTAGGCCACAAAACAAGTCTCAATAAATTTAGAACAACTGAAATCAAAGTATCTTTTCTGATCACAGTGAAATGAAGCTAGAAACAATAACAAAGGGAAACTGGAAAGTTCACAAATACGTGGCAATTAAACAACATAGTCTCACAACCAGTGCATCAAAAGA